CTTCGCGGCTGGACAACAGCCACCTGATCTTCGTCACTTGATGCTGGAGTGGCTGCTGGGTTATCTCCACTGTCCTGCTGGACTGCAGCGAAGTGCTGCTGTCGCGGACCAGTTCGTACCTTCTCCACATAGGTCGGCTGCCATGATGTTGATTTCTCGTGTGCAGCTGACCTGTTGGTCTTGATGATCTCCCTCGCTTTGTCAATGATCTTCGCGAAGGTTGAGTACTGCTCACGATCACCAAGAGCCTGGCTCAAAGCAGCACAGGACTTGTTGTAGAACTCACGGCGTAGATGCGCGAATGGTAAGTTCAGATTGGGCACAGCCACAATCTTCTGCCACTCCGTGAGCCAGTCCCGTGTTGTTGTGTTGCCCTGTGACATGGTGAACAGTCGGTTGATGGCGAGTGCTGGCGCGTCGTCGACGATGAACCGCTTCTTCCACAGACGTGTCGTGTTCCTCCCATGTGATTACGTCCTTCAAGTCTGGTACGTCGTTGCCGTGGGAGGTTGCCAGGTGGGTCAACCAGGTCTGGCGTCCGCCCTTTGAGTTCAGGAACAGGGCGCCGATGTGCGCATGCTTGTCTACGAGCAGAATCCTGAGTTGCGTTGTGAATGCTTCCCACCAGAGGACCGGATCCTGCTGCGTGTAGTCGTCGAACCTCTCCAGAGTGAACGTTGGCATCTTATACATCTTCAGATTGCCATTTGCGTTTGTCGTCTGCAGCTGCTGGAACTCGGTCTTCAATGTATGCCGCTGACTGCTGATGGTGGTGGTCGGCGCAGCGAACGTGCTGATGTCGCCGAGCATTGCCACTACGTGGTCAACGCGGTCCTCTAGTTGGCGGCTAGAGGGTGCACTGCTGGAAGCCCTAGCAGCTGGTCCTGGTACAGCCTGTTCTAGGTCCAGCAATCGGGCATTGAGTGCCCGAGTTGTATCCTCGTGGCTCTGCACCATGCGGCGGAGCTGTGCCAACTCCTGATGCTGTTGCGTCAGGTCCTGGTACTGTCTCTTCAACTCTGACCGTTGGTAGTTGCAAGCATACAACAACCGCGTCACGAGTTTGGAGAGGAACTCCTTGTGCTTCTCTTCCGGTGTTGCCTCGTCGCCGTTCGGTTCAAAATGCCAGTACTTTAGTCTGTCGATGTTGTTGCCTTCATGCCGCTGCAGCAGATCCTGGGCTTCCTTKCGGCGAGCGTGGGCATCTGCGTCTGCATCGGCCTGTAGCCGCAGCTGTTCTGCTTCTGCTGCCTCTTCAGCCTGTACGCGGGCAGCCTCGGCTGCTAGCAGGCGTTGTTCCTCAACCTCAATCTGAGCGTGGAAACGCTGCTTGTAGGCGGCAAGGGACTTGTTGGGCAGTTGCCCTGGCAGGCCCGTCATGTTGCTGATGTGGCACTGCTGACGTGGCACTTTGTCTGATGTGGCACTGCTGATGYGGCACTGTGTCTGACGTGGCACTGCTGATGTGGCACTGCTTACGTGGCACTGTCTGACGTGGCACTGCTGATGTGGCACTGCTGACGTGGCACTTTACCGAACCGGGATGCATGCAAGGGGTGGGCGGGAGGGAA